TCTTCATCGCAGCGACTGTTTCGCTTATGATTGCTTGTTGCGAAGCCATCGCGGGAATGGGTGCCCCAGGGCAGTGTTTTCGGAGGGTGTCGTGGGGCGGTGGTGACGGGAGGTTGATCGGGGGAGCCTAGGCGACGACAGTCGCAAGACGCCCAGAGAGTGGGGAAGCGTTTGCGTGTCTTGGTGGAAAAGTTTCGAGAATAAGATGGATGATCGGAGTACGAAGCAGTGCTTCTAATGGGCGCTGTCGTGGCGGTGAGGTGTGGGGGAAACACAGGTCTCAATCTCTGCGCACAATGCTATGACGAGGCGAGGCAGGAAGAAGAGCACGGCAAGTGGACGATGCACGGAAAGAGAGACAGACACCGACCGCGAGGCTGCCAGCTCAAAGCCTATCCAGGCTGTCTCATGAGCGCATGTCCTGCTGTACGGCCAATCAGAGACGCGCCCTCACTGGCGCACCCAAGCACTTTAGGAGATAACGCCAGTCCGATACGGGCCTTCCAGCTGGCAGCGTCCCACAGCGGCCCGCTGGAATCGATAGCCAGGTTGCCAGGCCCTCACTGTAAAGTTTCCCCTTGCGCGGTCAGGTACGCCTGCTTGGCCTGTAAGGACCAGAGCTCCACTTCAATGGGGTTAGCGCCGGGCTGTAGCTAGGCGTGGGCAGGACCTGTGATGGCTGTCCAAGTGGGCTGTCGCATTCACTGCATCAGACCCCCAAACGATCAACACTCGTCAGCGTCTTTGCAGGACCTCTCGTTCTAGGAGTCAAATACGAATAGACCAGCAGCTTTGATTGCGCTGCCATCTGACTTTCGGATTGTGTACGGTATCCTAGTCTGAATTGTAAGTGTAACCAAGGTCTCGACCCAACTTCTCGATCATTTCTGTCCTGACCCAATACTCTCAGATTGATAGATCCGATTCGCGTCATTACCCTGCCGACCGACAAATACATACTCTCGGAATCCTTTACCAACCCGTTTTGTTGCCAGCATGGACGGCTATCCAGCTGGGAGCCTGGACCACAACCTCCCATTCCTCGTCGTTGCCGGCTTGACCGAAGCTCCAGTTAATGCGCTACCCTTTGACAACGAGCTGAAAGACCAGGGAGTTCTGTTACAGTCGCAGCTTCCCTCTCTGGAAACGAAGGAGGCCAAGGCACTGAGGGAATACATTGCCAGCCAGGATGCAGCGGACCAGCCATGGAACCCTCAGCTTGCTACCAAGCCATACAAGTTCAGGGTTGCATTCACAGGCAGGGTAGCTCAACCCATCATATATACCTCTGGTCTTGTATTGTCGCCGGTTCTGACGCTGTGTAGTCTTTTGTGCTGCCTCCTCGCCGAGCCCGTCTGCCCGAGGACATCGAAACGCCCGAGTTCCCCCCAGTCTTACACTCGCCCTTTTCGCCGCTGAGCCCCATCTCCCCTCTGTACCCCGATGGGTTGATCGATGCGCAATGGATCCAGAAGCATCAGCAGATGGTGCCCAGTGTGTATCTGTGCTTCTATACGCTTACCTCCGACGCATCTATGGCTACACTAAACGATAACCAGCTGAAGAAGGATATCAACATATTGAGGCTAGCGCTGACCCAGTCAGGCTACAAGACTCGGCTGGTTGTTGCTCTGCTGAGTGACGACTCTGAGTCGTCCCCGTCCTTGTCTGAAGATATTCAAGAAAGGCTAGAAAACATTCGGAGAGGTGTGGCAATGGATCCGAAGTCGTTCTTCTACATCCCGACCCAGGACTCTTTCACAGAGTTGGAGCAGACCACCGACAGTATTCTCTCGACCATTTACTCCCACTCGATCGAGTACTACCGCGATCTTGGACGGCATGCTAGAAAGAAGCGCACCCGCGGCGTGACCCCTCAGCCTACAGTACCCCCGACGAGTGGCACATCGCAGACGTTGACATTGCAGGACTGCAACGTTCGCTACGACTTCAAGGCCGGTGTCTTTGCCGAATTTCGTCAGGAGATGGATTCAGCGTTGAGATCATATGACCAGGCATACGAGGGGGTTCTGAGTGAGGATGTCATGGACATGATCCCTAGTTGGAGCCCACGCTGGAATGAAGCACGCCTTCTCACCGATGTCATCACGATTCGAGCAATCCGATGCTCTTTATGGAACGGACAGACGACTTCGGCCGTACGGAGATGGCGTGCTCACCGTGATCGCATCGCAGACTTTGTCGACCGTCGCGGGCGCGGTACAAAAAACTACGGCTGGGAAGCGTGGGAGTCGAGATGGGCACTTGTCATGGTCAATCTGATCGACAAGGCGGAACTGGCGCAGCTTGCGCCATCCACGCTGTCCCTGTATATTCAGCCGGAAAAGGTTGTCATGGGCGAGCGGCTTCAGCCATGGGAGATGCTCCACCACACAGGCTACTGGTATCGAGATGCAGCTCGTCACTTGCATTCTCGTCGTGCGTTGGCCCACGCAATATCTGAGGAGCATCGTCGAATTCCGGACCCGAAGCCTGAAGGTGCGAATGCCGCCAAGAAGGCGTATAGTTACGATACGTATCTCTGCCCTGAGCCGCATGAGGAGTCGCCCCTCGAAGGCCCAGGCACGAACCATGCGCAACTAATCATAGACTGTCTGATGGCCGCAAGAGCTGAGTTCCAGGTCCGCAGGCAGCATCGCGTGTCAGCGGAGCTGTCACTTGAATGTGCCAGAGAGATGGCCCGCTTGAAAGCCTGGGACGATGTCGTCGCACTGTTAAGGCCTCTCTGGGTGGACATGTCGTTCCGAAGCGAGGGATGGTTGGATATTACTGAAGACCTCAGCTGGCTACTGAGGGCTGCTGCTGCCAAGGTTGGGCTCGGAGAGCTTGTCGTCTCCATTGACTGGGAGCTCTTGAACAAAAGTGAGTTCACCTGCCCGTTCACAACTCGGCATGCACATCTGACTGGCTGTAGATTTCACGCGGCGGCCAAAATGGCCGTACGACATGGCGAAGTCTCTCGATGGTGTCGACGTCAAGTCGAAGCCGATTGTGTCCTTAAGCAATGACAATATGACATCTTTCGTCTCAGCATCTTTCGTTTTCAAGACCGAAGAGGGCAAAGCTGGCGAAACGTGCCAAGCACAGCTTGCCGTCACGTCAACTGCTTTTCCGGACTCTGCACCAATAGTTCTCAAGCAACTGCGAGTCGATTTCGCTGGAAGCTTGCAAACGATCACCCTCGATCATTCTATCGAGGAGAAGACGAAGGGCTCGATGGAGAAACACAACACGTCGCTAGCCGCCATAGCTCTCGTAGAGACGACAGGTCCAGAATCAGAAGACGTGGAAGAGACCGAGCGGGGCTCCGTCCTCAATGGCCGAGCGGATCTGGAGATCAAGCCAGGCTGCACGTCAGTGTATGAGATGGCGATACCGCTGCGAGAATCGGGCGAGGCGCGCGCTGCATCTGTCGTACTGAACTTTGATACGGATGCGTTCACCCTTGATTACACCATTGGGTTCCAGGCGGCGAATGTGGCCGATGTCTGGTTTGGTCCCTCACTATCAAAGAGACGCATACCGCGTTTGAGCTCACATGCCATCCATGTGCGGCCTAAGCCACCCAAGATGGAAATCCGGCGAAGCGCCATCTTGCAGCAATACTATGCCAACGAACCGATTGAGCTACCACTCGATATCTTCAACGCCGAAGATGCAGATGCGACGGCTAAGCTAGAGCTACATGTTTTTGGCGAGCACGTACCTGCCCTTCGCGTGCAAGTCGATGGACTTGAAGAACAAAGCGTCGAGGCTGCCAAGGAAGAGTCGAAATTTCAAGGGCTTACCCTCGGTAGCATCGATGCCTCGCAGTCGAAACGAGCTGTGCTGCACCTCAGCCCCTCTGATGCGCCGACTTCGTATGAAATCACTGCCAGGGTTGGCTATCACCTGGTCACAGATCCTGCAACACCAATCTTGCAGGTCATGACATTCCAGGTCACCATCGTCAACCCCTTTGAGGCAAACTACGACATAGTGCCCCGCCTTCACCCGGAGCCGTGGCCGAGTCTGTTCGATTTCGAGGGCACCTCGGAAACAGCGGACCGTGAAGAGTTGGTAACCCACCCGCGCGGGCTTGCACAGCGATGGTCGCTCGTCTGCCACTTTGCGTCATTCGCGACTGAAGACCTCCAAGTGGTCGAAATGGAAGCCAAAGTACTGTCGTGCCTCCCGGGGGCTCGTGGTCACGCAGCTGGGCAACCCGACCTCCCCCCCGCTGGACTGATCATTCCTCCCAAGTCGATGCAGGAAGTCAAATTCGACCTCATCGTTCAGAAATTAAGTCTCGACGACCGTGGCCCAGCCTCGCTCGATGTGGCCTTTGTCCTCCACTGGCGCCGGGGCACGGCCGACCCCAGCAGCCCCGTCAACACGACGACCATGTCGGTGCCGCGCTCCATTGTCCTCGGCACCGAACCCCGCGTGCTGGCGTCCGTGTCCTACGTGAACGCTGCCACAGGACTCATGCACCTGGATGTGACGATTGAGAATGCATCCAGCCACTTCCTTACGTTTGGGCTGAGCCTTGAGCCGAGCGAAGAGTTTGCCTTTTCAGGGGCGAAACAGACGACGCTGCATGTGCTGCCAGTGAGCAGGCGGGCTGTTACGTACAGACTGCTGCCGCTGGTGAGGGGTACCTATGTACGGCCCAACCTGGTTGTTAGGGACAAGTACTTCCAGAAGGTGCTGCGGATCATCCCGACGGAGGGGATGAAGATTGACAAGGAGGGTTTGCTGCTGTGGGTGCCGCCGGCGGAGGGTCAACCAGAGGAGGAGGAGGAAGATGAAGAAGACGAGGTGGACGAGACATAGAAGAAGCACAATGTCAACTGTATGTAATGATGATATTCAAACAATGTGTGATCTTGTTCTCTTGGCCTTGTACCCAGTAGCCCAATCATGCTGCCTCCAAAATTGTACACAAACTCCTACACGTATAGAACGAGGCTATCCATCATGTCATCTACAGCGCCCTTTCAAATCTTGGCCTCCGTCTTGGTCTTGCCCGGCTTGGGCGGGCGCACGAGGCGCTGCTTCACTCGTCGGACAGCAGCGGTCTTCTCTCGACGCTCTTCTCGTCAG